TGTCTGGTCTTATGGTCGAGCCTGCCTCGCCACTTGGCCCGGAAGTGCTGTGACTGGAGAGGTTGGCCTGAGCTGCGTGCACCAAGATAATCTCGTCGGATCACGGGCTTGCCGGCAGAGTTGGGGTACTGGATCCTCATCGCGTGTGCGATCTTCTGGAACTCGTACGTGTTGTTGCAGGAACTCAGGATGCTTGTCTGTTCCTTGGGATCCAGGCCTCCAAAACATAGGAGCATCATCGCCCGGATCTGCTCAGGGACGGAGGTTCCAGTCGCGTTCTCCTCCAACCTTCGAAAGTCCTGCTCCCGTCGAACGATGTACTGCTGCATCGTCTCGTTGTTCTTCCTCCAGACATTCGGGGAGTAGAAGGCTTGGAAGAACAGTTCACTCGTCTTGACAGGGAGCTCGGCTGCTATGCTGTCCTTCAGCGTTTGGATGAACAACTTCATCCCGGCATCCGTTGGTTTTCCCTCTGAGGTTTTCGTCTTCAGCTTTGGATGCTCTAGCTTCCGGACCGACTCATAGGCTGCGCCGGAGAGACCTGCTCGAAGATGGACAGGGGTGGCGATCTGAAGTGCGTCCTGGCCTTCACGGCCGTGGAACAAATCCCAAGCTCGTTCTTCATATTCCTCAAAAAGCTCTGCCTCGCCGCTATACTGCGGCACTCCGTGCCGATCGGTGAGGATGCTACCAGCGTAGGCCATGGGGAGCTTGGAAGGGCAGCTTCAACAAGCTCAACAGCAACGGAGGGCGCCGCTCGCCTCCACAGGCGAAGCGACCGCGAAAGGAGCGCAGCGGCAGCGCCAGCAGCAGCCAGCGCCAGCGTCGCCCGGAGTTAACCGGGCTCCGCTTACCATCAAAGTACCGACGGCGGCGCGACGGTCCGTGGCAGCAGCGCGGATCTTTTGGACCAAGAGCGCTCTGCGGGTCACGCAGAGTTCAACGGACCTGATGCCAACCTGCAAAGCTAGTATGCTTACCTGCCATGCTTCTCATGCTTCTCAATTTCAGACCCCTCCTTAGCTTTGGAGGCAGCATCAGTTCCTGACCGTTTCACGGCCTTGCGTCGGTGACGCCCAGCTCGAATCGCCATCTTTCTGGCAAAAGCTTCTTCGCTGGGCCGGAGTCGCCACATGCTCGTTGCCATGGCCTGGAGGATCGGCTCTCTTTCACAGCCAGCTTTCGTCAGCACATCGGCTAACATCTGAGCCGTGTCACACCAGATGGCCTGCTCGTTGTGGTCATCGTAGTTGGTGTAGCCGAGGATCTCTTTCACCTGGGAAACTAGGATCTTCACTCTTTTGTCGGTCGGTTGACCTGCATCTTTTGTGATTGTACTTTCGAGGGATTTGGCATCCGTGATGGCGATCATCAAAGGGCGAGCCATCTCTTTCTCGATGTCGCTGAGGGAGAGCTCTGGATGCTTCATCTCCAGGATCAATGACCTGACATAGTCACCAGCTTCGGAGCCCATCAGGAAGGCGTTTGCCTCTGCAGCAAGCGTTGATCTGCAGACCCTCTTGATGCTTCCTGAATAGGTTTCTAGGAGCAATAGTGGAACTTCTTCTCCACTTGCGATCTCGGGGATGGTGAGGCCGATGATGTAGCCACATTGCGACTTCATCTCAACATTTGCAAAGCTACTGTCCGCGAAGACGCAGACAATGACGTTGTCCCAAGTCAACCTCTCATTGGGGTTGAAGATGTACTTCGCTTCTGAAGTTTCTTTCATCATCTTCACCGCCTTGTTCAAATCAATGATGTTCTGGATGGTGGGCTTTCCCATGGTCTGGGATGCCAGGCTCACGTTGACAAGGAGGTCGGGACGAGTCTGACGGGTCACCCAACCCATGGAGCCAATGAGTCCTCTGAACTCGGACTTCTCCTCTTCAGTGAGCGGGGCATTCGGTGTTGTTCTCCTTTCTTTCTTCAGGACGATGTACTCGATGCTTTCAATGGCATCAAACTGATCAAGTTCAACGCGCCCGTCGATGCGCTTGACATTCTTTCCACAGAACCTGAAGTCGTCCTGCTTCACCTTTAGGTGGATCTCCTTCTCGAGGATCTTGATCGTTTCGAAGAACTTCTCGCCGGTTCCAGTGCAGAAGAGGTCATCAACGTGTGAAGCCATGATGCCGGTGAGAGAACCATCCACAAAAAGGTAAAACAAAGCTTGCTCAATGCTTGACATCTTCCATCCTTGGGCCTTGACGGCATTGAAGAGTTTCTTCCACCATGACCTTCCAGCATCTCTTGTGCCATAGATGGAGCCCTTGGCGCGAAGGAGATCGGTTGGCAGTATGCCAGGTGGAGGCGGCCGAGGCGGCCTGAGAATCAGCAAGCGGCTGATCCCCTTTGACTGCAAGTAGGCTGTCGAGGCATCGCACGCGACCAATGGCCAACCTTGCAAGACGGAGATGGAGCAAATGAGGTTGAATGCAAGCAACGAGGCTGTGGGCGAATCAGAACGGATCCCAGTCTCTTCTTCTTGATGTCCTTGAACGACGATGCGAGACTTTGCTTCGAAGGGAAACTCCTTTTGGATCTGTTCTTTGGTTTTCTTTGTCTTCTTTGACATAGCAGCGGCGAGCAG